GGAGACGTACCCGTACATCGCTTAGCGGTAAGTGGATAAAACATCTACTCAGCTTGCCAGAACCACAGTACTGTAAACCAGAAGTACTGTAAAAGCAGTCTGCATGCCGAGGTGCTTGATTTTAAACACCTGTGGCCATAGAAGTGATTGGAACACCTGAATACAATGATTTGGAGGGGTGTCCTAATACTTTTGGCAATATAGTGTATATAACCTTTTAGCCAGTGTTCTACCTATTTACAAACTGAATTTTCCAAGCCTGTAGACTTTAACACATTAGCCTCATGTGGGGAACTGTCAAACACTTTTGCAAAATCTAAGTATACTGCATCTACAGCCACTCCTTTACTTACTTCCTCATGAAAAGAAATCAGATTTTTTTTACAACTTCTGTCTTTCATGAATCCATGCTGTCAATTGCTTCAAATATTTTTTTTCTAGCAATAACTCTTCTATGCAGTCTTTTATTAAACTCTCCAATATCTTCCCATCTATAAATTTTAAACTAATTTATCAGTAGTTACTTGGTAAAGACTTTGATCCCTTTTTAAATATAGGCATCACATTGGCCTTACACCAATCCATTGACACTATGCCAGTCATTAAACAGTTCCTCAAAATTAGAAACAAATTGTTGAAACAGCTCTTTTAGGACACGTGGGAGTATTCCTTTTCATCCAGGTGCTTTGTTCACCTTTATTCTGTCTAAACGTTTCTGGACCGACCATGTCAATTTTGATCCATAGTGCTTGACTTGGGGCTATGCCAATACTATCCCCATTATGGATTTGAGCTCCCCCATTTTCCATTGTATACACAGAGCAGAAGAAGGTATTTAATACATTTGCCTTTGTCTTTGTCATATTCACCATCTCTAAATCAACTTGTAGATGGCCTACATGTGAGGCCTGATATTTTTACGGGTAATATATTTGAAGATTTTTTTTTGGAGTTTGTCCTACCCTCTTTTTCAACCTGTCATTTATTTTGAATATTTTTTAAATTTCTGCTGCATTGATTTTTCCTTTTTTACATATTCAAATGTGACATTTGCAAAGAAAATAATACCTTTTGCATTACCAGTAGATTACTTTTCCCTGCCAGACTGTTTTTTTTCTCTTTCTAAAAAAATGGCATGGAAACTTTCATTCTCAAAATACATGCCAGTCCCTTGAGGCTCTGTTATGTATTTTGGGGTCTTTGGGGGGATTGTCACCATGTCATTTTTTTTAATAAAAATAAAAATGTGGGAAGGGAAGTTTAAACCAGCCATTTATTTATTTTCTAAAATGTCAGTTTTGCTGCAGTACATTCTACATCAAGAATGCAAAAAATAAAAATTGTGGAGGGAGAGTCTTTTATGGATTTTAAGGGTGATCAATGCAAAAAAACCAACAAAAAACAAACAGGGTCCAAATTCATATCAAACCCTCATCTGAACAAGCAGTCTGGCTGAACAAGAATTGGGAGGGGGCAAGCGCATGCCCCTCCCTCTCCTGAACCATACCCAGGTCATATTCACTAAACATGGGCAGGGTTGTTGTCGGGGTTCAGCAACTTTGTCCCCATGATGATGATCCCCATTGGTGGTTGTGGGAATCTGCAGAGATAGCTTATCTGAATCTAGAAGTCCCCATTAAAAAGAAAGGGGGCCCCCAGATAAAGCACTCCCCCCATGAGAAAGATTTAGAGGTAAATAGTATAGTACCCCTACTCATTTACAAAAAAAAAGTAGACAGCACATAATCACACCACACACTTTGCCAAGCCCATTATTAAAAAAAAAAAAAACACAAAACAAAACAATGTCTCGATCATGTCAATTACATTGTCAAGCAAAGCAGATCCTTGTCATGATGAACAAATGTCCACCGACCCAGTAGGAAAAACACACTGACCTGCCATTACGTTTCTTCCTATCACTACTCCTTGCTGACAGGAGTGGGTATGGTGGCTGATGACATTGACCAAATATATCCATGGCCATTGACCAAATATAACCATAGCCAGATTTGGTCAGTGATGTCACCCACCATCCCTGCTCCTTTGTTTGCCCAGCTGACAGTTGAATGGACTGGGTAGGGATATGTCAATTAATGCTTGCTTCTAGCTCCCTAACAACCAGAGTGGAAAGCTGTCACATCTATCTGTGGGAATAATGCCACTGCTAAATGTATTACTTTAAAGAGAAAAACTACCAACACTCAGCACTACACTAGTTGCTTGTTACAATCAAGGAATGATCTTAAGCAATCAGGTTGAATGGTGTATGAGGGACTGTAATGACATCACATAAGAGTAGGTACACCTCAAGATGGCAAAGATATATGCATGTTTATAGACATATGTAAAACATGTATAAAACCCCGGAGGTCTGGGCTATATTCAATTAGAGGACAGCCTCTTGCTGACACAGCTGTCTAGAGTTAGGCTGCTTCTTTGGATAGGCCAGGAACCCAAAAGCTGCAACAGAAGAGGAAGGAGAAAAAGAGGCGCCAAGCTGCCAATGGTGTAGTAGGATTTATTCAACAAGAGAATCGAGAAAGGAGCTGTCAAACCTCCTATTGGCTACAGAGTCTGTATCATCTGACAGCTCCATTGACAGCTCCTTTCTCGAGTCTCCCATGGCGGTTTTCTGGAGGTTGGCCAGGATCCCTGGCATCCACAGCACTGCTGTCATCTCAGCAGTCTCTGTCGGGAGTGGATTCTGCACTTGTGGCTCCACATGGAACTTGTTATATGTCTGTTTCCAATGACTTTTGTGAGTGTAACTTATTGTATTTTAACATACACTGGTAAATAAATCCTGCTACACTGTTGGCGGCTTGGCGCCTCTTTCTCTCCTTCCCCTTCTTTTGCTGAATACATCACTTACCACTGCAGCTGGTGTTGCTTGAAAGACGAAGACTCCTTTAGTTCACCTGTTTGCCAAATGCAACAGGCAAAGTTTGGACCCAATTCTACTTTGGTCCTAACCTGAAGCTCATCCCTAGTTCACACACAACAGTCACTTCAGATTTGTGCAATCTTTAGAGCAGCAGGGTCTCCAAACCTTTGAAACAAAGGGCCAGTTTACTGCCATTCAAAATTTAAGTAGGTTGGGCTGTAGCAAGTGGGAGTATAAAATGCCCTGGCATCAGTGGCAGTAAATATTGCCTAGGCTTGGTGGTCAGTGGGAGTAAAAAAAATTACATCATTGGTGTTAGTGAGAGGAATAGTGCCTCATAATTGGTGTCAGTGGGAGAAGTAATTCTGAAGGACCCTCTGCACACTGGTATATACCCTTTCTAGTAGACCTTGCAATAAATAGGGATATCTGGTTCACACATATTGCAATACATGCTTAAACTGGCCAACTGCGTCAAAGTAATCCCTCTATGGCCAGTCCTACTCTGCTCTGCCTATGCAAATGCTACTGTGGACACAATGCTAGCATAGGGGAAAAGACACAATGGGGAGAGCTACAAGGTACTTTGACGCAGTTGGCCAGCTTATGCATGTATTGCAATATGTGTGAACTAAATATCCCTATTTATTGCATAGTCTGCTTGAAAGGGTATACACCAGTGTGCAGAGGGTCCTCAGAATTTCTAGTGTTAATATGTGGTTATACCCCTTTAGCACCTGATGGATAAATGCATGCACTAGATGTTGGGATTTGAGCACAGGTATCTCTTGTTTGTAGTGGGAGAAGTAATTCCCCATCTCTGGTGTCGGTGAGAGGAATAGTCAGCCATTGTTGGTGTCAGTGGGAGGAATAATGCCCCATCATTGGTGTCAGTGGGAGGAATAGTGCGCCATCATTTGTGTCAGTGAAAGGAACAGTGCCCCATCATTGGTGTCAGTGGGAGGAATAGTGCGCCATCATTGGTGTCAGTAAAAGGAACAGTGCACCATCATTGGTGTCAGTGGAAGGAATACTGCGCCATCATTGGTGTCAATGGAAGGAATAGTGCACCATCATTGGTTTCAGTGGAAGGAATACTGCGCCATCATTGGTGTCAGTGGAAGGAATAGTGCGCCATCAATGGTGTCAGTGGAAGGAATAGTGCGCCATCATTGGTGTCAGTGGAAGGAATAGTGCGCCATCATTGGTGTCAGTGGAAGGAATAGTGCACCATCATTGGTTTCAGTGGAAGGAATAGTGCGCCATCATTGGTGACAGTGGAAGGAATAGTGCGCCATCATTGGTGTCAGTGGAAGGAATAGTGCGCCATCATTGGTGTCAGTGGAAGGAATAGTGCGCCATCATTGGTTTCAGTGGAAGGAGTAGTGTGTCATTGGTGTCAGTGAAAGGAATAGTGCATCATCATTGGTGTCGGTGGAAGGAATAGTGCATCATCATTGGAAGAAATAGAGTCTTCTATCAGTGGGAAATAAATAGTGCCGCAAGGGCCAGATAAAGGTGAGCAAAGGGCCACATCCAGCACTCGGGCCTAGATGGGTATTGCAGACACTTACAAAAAGCTAAGAAGCAGAAGTTACACTGACATACATATGGAAACAGCATTGAAAATAAAGGGGATAAAACCTAAAGATAAAGTATTTCTCCTGCTCTGTGGGTTGGATGGAACACACAGTTTTTACCCCCAACATAGATCATATCCATTAGATATGATGTACTTTTGATTGTGAATCTTAAATTATTAAATTAGATTAGATTCAACTTTATTGTCATTATGCAAAGTATATGTACAGAGCCAATTAAATGGCCCATTTACAATAAATAATATAACAAAAATCGGGGTATGGAATATACAGTAATACCATAATTGGTGCAATGAGTAGTGCATTAATGGATGAAATATTCAGTAATGCAATGGTGAATAAAATATACAGTAATGCAATATCATCTAATGATTAGCTGTTCAATGCTTTAACAGCCACAAGGAAAAAACTATTTTTATTTGTACGGGCTCTGAGACACCTGTATCGTTTCCCCGATGGAAGGAGTATGAACGGTCCATGGTTAGGGTGGGAGGCATCACTAATGTACACAGCGTTTTTTGTAAATGTTTTCCAAGGTGGAAAGCTGAATACCAATAATTCGTTGGGTGTTTTTCACCTCCCTCTGAAGGCTTTTGCGGTATGAATATACCATTGAGATCAAAGTGATGTTACCACTCACCTGGTCTATCCAATGGGATGTAATAAACTGGCCATTGTATTTTTAGCACAGTTAGGATTTTGGTAATCACAGTCTCCAAACACTAATAACCATGCTGTGTTATGAATTATGGAGCTGAAAGTAAGAGTGATGGCCTCGACTGTTCTGTCAGGGATAGAGACCAAACATGAATGCTTTACACCCAGCAGAGTCTAACATCTCTCTTTGCAACCAGACCTTTGCAGAAGGTTTTATAACTGAGCACTGGACGGTATGGGACTTTTTGGGTGAATAAACGTTTGAAAACTTTCAAGGATTGAAATATACATATATGTCTCAGAGGCCAGGTAGGAATGTTACACCTTGCAGCTGCATAGACTGGTGTGTCCAGGGGCGGACTGACCATTTGGAAACTCGGGCACTGCCCGAGTGTCAGTAGGGGGCCCCATGAGATGCCCCTGGTACCTTTTTCATAGGTTTTTTTGAGTTTGGGCAAGGACACAGGGGCCCCATGATCCCCTATTGCCCGGGGGCCCCATGAGTTGTCAGTCCGCCCCTGGGTGTGTCCAATGAAAAAAAACACACAGGGTCTAAGGCCTCTTGAACATTGCAGCTGCTTGAAAAGGCTAGTAGAGCTGTAGCCCATTATTTACAATGTGCCTTGGCACGTAAATAAGCACTGCGTATTCCTGTACAAAAAAAAAAAATAGAAAAATTAGCATTTTTGGTCAGCGATTTACGCTGCCTTCGCACAAATGTGCATGAATACGCGCAAATACATGCATATACACGCATATGAGCATAAATATTAATACATTTTTCCTAAGAATATATTGTGCACACAAATGTATATATATACGTGCACATGCGTGCAAATTTGCGCATAAATACTCACGAATACGTGCAAAACAAGCACCTGAAATTACATTTAAAAAAGCAGATGCTCAAACATCAGTACCGTGTGCACGAGGCCCAAAAATGATCTTTGTTGGGATGGTATACAAGTTAAAGTGTTACTAAACCCAGGACCCTGCATGCACTATATCTTTTCTCCCGCAGTACACAGAACATGGAAGCGCAATTATTTAAGTAAATATAAACTGCTAAATATCTTTTCTCATCAGCACTTAGAGCAGTCTTGTGACTTCTATCAGTGTGCAGCATAGCACTGGTTAAAGCTTGTAGGAGGAGTTTTCATTCTGTTCTATGAGGATGCAGGGCCCCTCACCTCTGTCTGTAGAGTGTTGATCTTCCAAGACAAAAAAAAAACCTCTCTAGCAATATACACCAAACTGAGCATGTGCAGAGTGACTCCACACAATATGCCGTATCAGGAGATAAGAGGGGGACACTGGAAGAAGGGGAGGATCAGAGAAGTCAGGATCAAACAGCGATTTTACACAATGCGGAGGATTAACCCCTTAGGTTCCACAGTGAGTATAACAAGCATGCTTTACTGCCTATACAGACTGATTTTACTGTTGTGGGTTTGGTAACACTTGTCCTTCCTTCTACATTGTATTGTTAAAATGTTATTTATATTTCAGGTTAACTATGCCCTGAGTAAATGTCGACAGACTATGTAATGTGATCTTCAGAAAGTTTATTAGATTTGTTTTTTGGCTACACAGCAAAGTGACCTAGTGGTTAGTACTTCTGTCTCATAGCAATAGGGCCCCCCGTTTGAATAGCAACAGGGCCCCCCTTTTATAGGACTATCTGCATGAAGTTTGTATATTTTCCCTGTGCTTTTGTGGGTTTCCTCCCACACCCTAAATACATGTTAGTAGGTTAATTAGCTCTTGTCTGAATTGCTTTGTAAGCATATGTATGCACATGCTATATGGCCCTTAGATTATAAGCTTCTATATATAAATACCTGTAATACCTTTACTCCTCCCAGGACAGCTACATGAAGGTTATGTAAGGGGAGGAATGCGGGAGCTGGGCCAGCACAGACACTCCCAGAAGAAGAGAGGGCTATGATGTGTAATGATGGATGGGGCTGTGCTATGGAATTGACTCTCCTGCACTAATCCAATTGTTTTAGCAAGCTGAAGGGCATATTACAAGGGAATTAAACAGCATTTAAAAACTCTGCAAATAAACATTTATTTTGCACACTGGGCTTAAAAAACGTCAGTCCCCTTGAAAGTAAGAAAATAACGCTCTTTATACAGCATTTTTGTACAGAAGATTGGGATTTTTTCTGCCTCTAAACGTTAAGCTTAACATCCAAATGTACATGGAGACATAGGATAACATTGAGCTGCTTCTAACAGCAAACTGCAAAAACTCCAGTAGAAGCAGCAATTTTTTTTTAAGCCATTGTGCATGGACCCTAAGGATACTTGAATTTTCTGGGATTTTTACATGCAATTTTCTAGTTGGTAACTGGTAACAGCTGCAAACCAGCCGTCACCCAGAGCCACATCTACACCCTGTACACCGTCACCCAGAGCCACATCTACACGCTGCACACCGTCACCTAGCACCACATCCACACCCTGCACACCGTCACCCAGAGCCACATCCACACCCTGCACACCGTCACCCAGAGCCACATCTACACGCTGCACACCGTCACCTAGCACCACATCCACAGTCTGAACACCATCACCCAGAGCCACATCTACACCCTCCACACTGTCAGCCAGAGCCACATCTACACTCTGCAGCACACTGTCACTTAGAGCCACATCTACACCCTGCACACCGTCACCTAGAGCCACATCCACAGTCTGAACACCGTCACCTAGAGCCACATCTACATCCTGCACACTGTCACCTAGAGCCACATCTACATCCTGCACACTGTCACCTAGAGCCACATCTAAACCCTGCACACCGTCACTTAGAGCCACATCTACACTCTGCACACCATCACCTAGAGCCACATCTACACTCTGCACACCATCACCTAGAGCCACATCTACACTCTGCACACCATCACCTAGAGCCACATCTACACCCTGCAAACCGTCACCTAGAGCCACATCTACACCCTGCACACCGTCACCTAGAGCCACATCTACACTCTGCATGCCCTCACCTAGAGCACACAGCTACACCATGCACACCATCGCCTAGAGCCACATTTACACCCTGCACACCATAACCTAGAGCCACATCTACACCCTGCACACCGTCACCTAGAGCCACATCTACACTCTGCAAACCGTCACCTAGAGCCACATCTACACCCTGCACACCGTCACCTAGAGCCACATCTACACCCTGCACACCGTCACCTAGAGCCAAATATACACTCTGCACACCGTCACCTAGAGCCACATCTACACCATGCACACCATCGCCTAGAGCCACATTTATACACTGCACACCGTAACCTAGAGCCACATCTACACCCCACTGCACTCACACCCAGAGCCACATCTACACTCTGCACACCGTCACCTAGAGCCACATCTACACCCTGCACACCGTCACCTAGCACCACATCCACACTCTAAACACTATCACCCAGAGCCACATCTACACCCTGCACACCGTCACCCAGAGCCACATCTACACTTTGAACACTATCACCCAGAGCCAAATCTACACCCTGCACACTGTCATTTAGAGCCACATCTACATTCTGCACATCATCACCTAGAGCCACATCTACACCCTGCAAACCGTCACCTAGAGCCACATCTACACCCTGCACACCGTCACCTAGCACCACATCCACACTCTAAACACTATCACCCAGAGCCACATCTACACCCTGCACACCGTCACCCAGAGCCACATCTACACCCTGCACACCGTCACCTAGAGCCACATCTACACTCTGCATGCCCTCACCTAGAGCCACAGCTACACCATGCACACCATCGCCTAGAGCCACATTTACACCCTGCACACCATAACCTAGAGCCACATCTACACCCTGCACACCGTCACCCAGAGCCACATCTACACCCTGCACACCGTCACCTAGAGCCACATCTACACTCTGCACACCATCACCTAGAGCCACATCTACACCCTGCAAACCGTCACCTAGAGCCACATCTACACCCTGCACACCGTCACCTAGAGCCAAATATACACTCTGCACACCGTCACCTAGAGCCACATCTACACCATGCACACCATCGCCTAGAGCCACATTTATACATACACTGCACACCGTAACCTAGAGCCACATCTACACCCTGCACTCCATCACCCAGAGCCACATCTACACTCTGCACACCATCACCTAGAGCCACATCTACACCCTGCACACCGTCACCTAGCACCACATCCACACTCTAAACACTATCACCCAGAGCCACATCTACACCCTGCACACCGTCACCCAGAGCCACATCTACACTTTGAACACTATCACCCAGAGCCAAATCTACACCCTGCACACTGTCACTTAGAGCCACATCTACATTCTGCACATCATCACCTAGAGCCACATCTACACCCTGCAAACCGTCACCTAGAGCCACATCTACACTCTGCACGCTGTCACCTAGAGCCACAGCTACACCATGCACACCATCGCCCAGAGCCACATTTACACCCTGCACACCATAACCTAGAGCCACATCTACACCCTGCACACCGTCACCCAGAGCCACATCTACACCCTGCACACCGTCATCTAGCACCACATCCATACTCTGAACATTATCATCCAGAGCCACATCTACACCCTGCACACCGTCACCCAGAGCCACATCTACACCCTGCACACCCTCACCTAGCACCACATCCACACCCTGCACACCATCACCCAGAGCCACATCTACACCCTGCACACCGTCACCCAGAGCCACATCTACACCCTGCACACCGTCACCTAGCACCACATCCACACCCTGCACACCGTCACCCAGAGCCACATCTACACCCTGCACACCGTCACCTAGCACCACATCCACACTCTGAACAATATCATCCAGAGCCACATCTACACCCTCCACACCGTCACCTAGAGCCACATCTAAACCTTGCACACCGTCACCTAGAGCCACATCTATGGCCTT